CTACGTCATCGAGTGGCGCCGAATGCTGGGCATTTAACATGCATTTAAACAGTCCTTCGGCGCCACTCTGACGTAGTATACTTGAAATAGTGGCTCTGCAGCAGGTTTACTCGACATTGAGAAATGACCACTGTGACTGTTTAACCCTTGTGAATGTAGACAGAGTATGAAACAGGCAGGCACCGTGATGCAGGCTGGATGAAAAGCGTTCTGTTTGAAGATTGTATTGATCCTCTTCTCTTGATCCCTCTCCAGGTTACTACTTTGAAATTCCATCCATTGGAGCCATCAGAATCAACACCCAGGTAAAGTGTATAGAGTGTACAAGATATTTAACACAACTACATGAATCAACAAAACAACTAAGATGTTTAAGGTTTGTTTACACCCTCAATAGCATCAATGTAGCTGCAAATAAGATTTGACTCTGTAAGGATTTCATGGAGTATTCTCAACGTGAGCAGAGAAGGAAATCACATATTTCACCTGTTTAGTTTCTCTCTGCCTTCATGTACAGTTTGATCCCCCGTGCATGTGAGACTGTGTGTCTGTGTGTGGGTAGATAATGGACACTTCCTATTTGTTGACGGCTTGAAGCAGATGCGGTCAAATCAAGAATGGATAATAACACCTGCTTATGGCACCGCCACTAACCCTTATGCCAATTTGCCCAGTGGCCATTGGAGCTATCGCAGCAAAATCGCAGCAAAAATAGACATCAGTAAAACTGTTGACAGGACACCTCAAACTACAAACATGGTAAATGATATCTCTCGCCCCTGGTTAACACCGTCGCCATTTTCCTCGTTGCTATAGCCACCGACTCAGCCACTGCCATGTTTAGAGCCTTGTTAAAAACCTTAAAGCAAGAAGCTTGTCCATTCTTCCTTCACAGTTACTTTGATGATAATTATACAGATTGTAGATATACTTTAAAGTATTCCATAACAAAGAGGCAGAAAGCAACACAGCTGGATGTCAACAGCAAGGAAGTGGCAGATTGAGGATAAAGTGAAAACAAAAAGGGTTGTGTCTTTCTATACGAATGTTTCTGGATGCTGTGACGCTCTATCGCTTTCTCTTGCTCTTTTTTTCTCACACATACACACACTCAGGGCCCTGACAAACCCCCCCCCACACACACACACACACACACACTCACACACACTATTGCTTGAGGCTTTACGAGCTTCTTTCGGCCCTTGGAATAACCCCATTCCAGCTGTAGAAATTGACTCAGTTGCTGTGTGGTGGGGGGGCTACTGAACACCCCTCCTCCCCCTCCTCCCTCTCCCCTCTAGCCGACCCAACCTCCCCCCCATCCCGGTGAGCGATCAGGCCCAAGAATATACTGTCAGATGTTCCATTAACTCCCGCATATTTATATTCTGAGAACTGCCACTTACTTTAATAGGTTTTCTGAAGGTGGGTGACTGCAGCTCTCTGTATAAGGCACAGAAGACACATTATTTAATTGTACTCTGCCCTTCAACAGCGCACACTCATCACACGGTCTCACTTGACTAAGATAGCAATGTTCAAATAACAGATGGCGCATAGACGGCAAAAGTATTATTATTCATTCCGTCCTGAGTCATGCAATGACTGGAATAATTTTGAGGATAAAGCTCTTTATTCTATATATTTTTGTGCCTCTGCTTAATTATTTGAAATAGAAGTTTCAAGTGACTTACAGTGGGGCAAAAAAGTATTTAGTCAGCCACCAATTGTGCAAGTTCTCCCACTTAAAAAGATGAGAGAGGCCTGTAATTTTCATCCTGTTGCTGGTATTTTGGCCCATTCCTCCATGCAGATCTCCTCTAGAACAGGGGTTCCCAAAGTTCCCCCCGGGGGGTCGCGAGATGATTACAAAATGTAAATGGAAAATTAAAAAAAAAAAATGTATAAAAAAGAATTGATTAATTTTCTTTATAATTTTTTTTTAATTGTTATTATTAATAATAACGTTTGCATAGACATTTTCAGGGGCGGACTAGCCATCTGTATAATTTTCCCGCAACGAGGCTCCCCCTTTGACAATCCACTAGCGCAGTGTTTTTTTTACCAAAAAGTTATAATTTGGTTTCATCTGACCATATGACATTCTCCCAATCCTCTTCTGGATCATCTAAATGCTCTCTAGCAAACTTCAGACGGGCCTGGACATGTACTGGCTTAAGCAGGGGGACACGTCTGGCACTGCAGGATTTGAGTCCCTGGCGGCGTAGTGTGTTACTGATGGTAGCCTTTGTTACTTTGGTCCCAGCTCTCTGCAGGTCATTGACTAGGTCCCCCCGTGTGGTTCTGGGATTTTTGCTCACCGTTCTNTGTGCAGTAGCTTCATTTGTCATGAGGTCAATCACTCAATAATTTTACCAAATACACACCATGACAAGATTCAATAGGTTGTTTTCATAAAAGACGTCTCAGCTGCTGTGAGAGTTGGAACTGAGAACAGGAGAATATAGTAAATATGATGTATTACTCGTAGACTTAACCCCTCACCTCTATCACAATAGCTGTGGGACATTCTCACAGTGCCGGCGATGACAGTAGGGCCTCTGGGAGAATGGCCCGTTTGCACGTCATGCCACTGACATCCTTAATGTGTTTTTAATAGCTCCTTCATAATGATGAGAAACGGCCCTGAGTGGCTCAGGACTGCAGGCTTTATGGCTCCGCAGGACGGGGATGCTGCTGCTGGTGGCCCGCTGCTTTATGTGGTGACAGAGAGGGGGCCGGTCAGGGTCTTATAGTTTTATGACAGATGAACGTTGGCTTTTCCAGCTCTTTGCTTTTAACACCTCTACATGACAAGCACTATAAATGTTTGTTTGATGATACGTGTTTGTTATATTTAGTCACACCAGCATGTGTGTTTTTGCTGTTGCAGGAGTACCTGGACGTCCTGGGCCGTCCCATGGTGCTGGCTGGGAATAAAGCGCAGCAGGTGCAATGGACCAACGTCTACCAGGATGTTCTGGTGAGGGAGGACTTCTAAAGATATTTCATTTCTGATTACTATTTTTTATAAATATTTCTAAATCTGTAAAAGTTTCTCATTTTATGTTTTATAACTAAGTCCATCTGCTACCTTTTTAATTTGTAAATCACAAGCAATTGTTTATTTAAATGAAGTGATGTCCTTCAAAAATAAGCTTGATTGATCCTTTTTCTTTAAGGATAGTATATGATAATGATAAAATCCTAAAGGTAGTTATGATGTCAGAAGAAAAGCATGCACATCCAGATAACAATTTTTAGGTGCTGGAATAGAAGAACTTTACAAAAAATTAAAAATAGTCTGTACACAAAGAAACGCTCCCAATGAACATTTTTAAGTAATGTTATGAGCATTAAGCTATTTTTTGACAGAATTCTTGGTGTCCCCACCTTTAATCCACTCAATTTAAAATGTCATTACATTTATCTGCATCTTATTGTGTTTGTTGTCTTGGTTTTTGGATTCTCAATTACACACCTAATAGAGATTTTATTTACCATAACAACATTTTAATTGGATTTCTAATATGTGTATCAGGGTTTGGGCCTAGTCATCACTGGGACGATGCCTGTCTTCAACCGCACTGTTGATACTGTGAGCCCTCAGGTAAAATCAACACTGCACTACAGGACATGGAACTTGCAACAGCTAGACTTTTTCACTCACACAGCACAGCAGACAGCAAGACCTCAGCTCATCCTTCATATGAACGAGCATTTACCGATGTGTCTTTATTGTCAGTCACGTGGTGTAGGCTACACAATAGGGTCATTCAAACAGAAAGACTAACGGGTGGAGCCTCAGGTTTTATTTTTGCACTGTTGACCATCATCTGTCATTTGTAATGGCCTCCACCCAACTGCTGCACTTCTAGGCAACACCTCCCCCCTGAGGTGACAGCAGACATCACAGCCCCCCGTCGGTAGTATCTGTTATCATGCACAGATGCATCCAGCTTTCAGTATCCATGACCAAAGTATTTACTCTGGGATTATCACACAAACCTGAGGCTGTGAGGCCGCTGCAGTTTAAGATAGACTGTACAAAATATAGACTAATCATATTGAGCACAAAGTGATGAGTCGTAGGTGGCATGGAGATGTTTTTAGTACTCTCAGGGCACAGCTACTGGCTTTCCTATTCTCTCCAGTGCCAGGAAATGTCTAATGATTGTTCTTCCTACAGAACCAGCTCATCCTCGGAGTCATGGGAGTGGATATTGCAATTAATGAAATCAAAAGGAAGACGCCCACATACAGAGTAAGCATGTTGTACACTCAGTTCCACCCTATCATTCTCATATTGATGATCATCAGTTCACACCTTCTCGTCATTCTTCTTATGTGCAGCTTGGAGCTAACGGCTACACCTTTGCCATCGATCCCAATGGCTTCGTTCTGCTGCATCCCAACCTGCGACCTAAAGTGCGTCCAACTACACACACATGCAATAACTTTACATTACTTCTGGTTTTGAATCAAGATGTGGGTGTTTTTTTTTTCGGATGGCTGACGTTAAGCCCTCCCTCTCTCTTGTGCAGATCTTTGACTACAAGGAGCCCGTTACTCTGGACTTTCTAGATGCAGAGCTGGAGGACAGCAACAAGGAGGAGGTAAACAAATTGGAAACCTCATCATTATTCATAAACGGTGTATTTAATATACATTTAACGTATCATTGGATCATTTGCTTTTTCCTTTTGGTGTACCTGTTTGCCTTGTCACACTGCAGCATCTCTCCCTCTCTCTCTGTACAGATCCGTCGACAGATGATTGATGGCAAGTCCGGGCAAAGGAAAATCAAGACGCTCATTAAGTCAGTTGATGAGGCAAGTCATCAATACATGAGGCTCAATCATTATCCAAAGTAGCACCTTCCTGAATTGCGTTGTAATGAACCTGACTGTGCTGAGGATGTGACGGTGTTACATATTTCTCTTTGGGTGTTAACAGAGGTACATTGATGAGGCCGTGCGGACGTACACGTGGACGCCTGTGAATGGTACAGATTACAGGTAGGTTTGATATCAGACATGCCCACACCTCGGACCAAAAAAGATTGTGCAACTTGAAAATGTGAGTGAAGTCCATTTTTGATACTTTTAAATGATCCAGTTTTCCTAATTACAGCTGTTACTTATCAGCCAGCAGTGTTTTTCTTAACTATAGCTGCCTCAGCTTAGAGCCGACTAAACACATCACTGAGTCAAGGCATAAATAAAGATTTCTATATTAGCATAAGATAATTCATTTGATTCCAACAAATGAAGGAGCATTTTTCAGTACTATAATCACAAATGAATTGCATAGTTTATTAATTTCCTAACTTGGTTTAACATTTGAGGTTGCATCGTAATGACATTTTCTCCAGGCAACACTTTGCAAATTACAGTTTATGATATTCAATAGTTCTACCAATGCCCGATGTGTGTTTTGTTATTATGTCTGCTGGCAGCGTGCCTGGTCCTGGCCGAGTCCATACGAGGCTTTCTCTGCACAATTATATTTATTTCAACTCGAAGGGAAACTCCAGCAGTAACAGTGATCGTGTGTTACTGCTGTGATCTGCAACAGTCAAATCTAACTGTAACCAGACGCTCACTGATGCCGGATGTCATGCAACATACATCTACATTTAGGGATTAGAGACGGTTGTAGCTCATAAAACTGATGACGATGGATGTTTCTTTAAATCTAAATTAGCTTTATATTATAGATAGTCGACTGTAGCCGTGGCTCAGTCTGAACCTGATACTGTCACAGCCTGATTTTCTATCCGTTCCAATTAATCCTCTTACTGGTTTCTATTATATTTCTATGGCACCACAGATTAAAAGATGGGACTTGTATTTCTATTTTCTCTTCCATCAATGTATTACTTTGGTGGAAGAGTCAATATTATTGAGCATATGTAGGTCAAACTATCAAGAGAAACCAATATTTCTCTTTCATGTTCATCCCCTAGATGTATCACTTTGTTTTAAAGATAAACAGAATCAGAGATGTGTTGCAAATATTCAGCATGTTTGATACCGTACAGTGTGAACTCGCTCCAAGTGCCGAGTCTTTGCTTATGAACTGATGGGTGCAGGCCGTCTCACAGCAGGCGGCATCGAGGACGCGCCGAGGCCTTTTCTGACTGTTTGATGTGAGCCTATGCGGCCCTCGGCTTAAAGATCCTCTAAATTGGAGACTTTAACCTCGATGGAAAACGGCCTCTTCAGTAGTGGCTTCTTTTGAGCGAAACATTGGTTAAATAACATTTTTTTTTCAGTTCAGACGCTACATATAACTTATAGCCCATTAATCTATACAGTGCTAACATGCATTGTGTTGTAAGTGTAGCTCTTTAACAAAGTTTTTTCCAGCCATCGTTTCATTGTTACCTCTAAAGTGTTTCCTACCTCAAACATTTGGTAAAAAAGATTTTTAAGAACATTGTAAGATCTGCCTTTAGAATATATATATATTACATTGCAGGATTATAATTATTGATGAAATCCCTTTAATGTTGGTAAAGGTAAAGCTCATACTGCAATTACTTTACATACTACCTAGTAGCGTAATCTATATTAATGTATAATCGTTATGTATATATTCTATGAAAAGAAAGAAAACTTAAATTATCAAATAAATTCAGTGGATTAAATAAAGTACAATATTTAAAGCCTGTTTGTTGTGTAGTTGAAGAATAAAGTAGCAGAAAATGGGAATACTCAGTAAAGTCTAAGTAGTTTAAAATAGCTTTTAAGTACAGCTGTGTGTGTGTGTGTGTGTGTGTGTGTGTGTGTGTGTGTGTGTGTGTGTGTGTGTGTGTGTGTGTGTGTGTGTGTGTGTGTGTGTGTGTGTGTGTGTGTGTGTGTGCGTGTTCACAGTTGTTGTAATGTGCTCTGAGGTTGGACAGGGATGGGAGTGATGGAGGCCACAGCTCTGGGATAGAAGCTGTTCCTCAGTCTGTTAGTGAGTGGTGTTATTGTCCTGAAAAGCGTGCCGGATAGAAAACAGTCCAACAGGTA